TGCGTTCCCATCTCCGCTCCGTTGTTGGAGTCTCGCTTGGCGACAGGCGACAAACCTGTCTGCTGGCGAAGAGTTCTTTGGGAGTCGATGCTCGGCCACTTGCCTACATTGTAGGCCGACTTTGGCTGCGGCTTTGACTTTGGCTTTGGCCATCAACTTGTCGCTCTTCGTGGCTGAGCGATGGCAATGGACTGCACAGGAAAAACAACACATTTCACTTGATTTTAGATGGCTAAAATTGTATGTTAAAATAACTAGAAATATCCTAAGTTCATTTATCTTGACTTTATTGTTTTTTCATCTTAGAACATTAGATGTTTACTTGTAATATTTCAGGTCCATTTATCTAGCTTGATTATTTGTATGAATTGATCAACTTAGGATTTTTTATTTTACATATTAAAAAGGGAAGGCTAAACTTATTGTTGTAGTTAAGAAAGATACATTTAAATTTGAAATCATATGCTCTTACATAAATGCCAAATAAAATTCTTCAGAAATTTGTAAGCTTATGTATTACCTTATACTTTTACAATTGCTTTTTAAGGATTTCTTTCTTATATTATATTCTTTCTGTGTAAAATGGGATGTTATGGGATCGGATACGAAAGGATTGGATAGGATGGGCTCTGCTTGGCTGGCTGCCTTCAATCAGTCGAACGCAATTCGAGTTGACAACATGTCGCAAATGCGTGAGTCTTCTGCGGAGTGCGGGATGGAGGGATGTTACAACATGGTACACTCTTATGATTATATAGATTATATTGGCCGCTCCTCGGCCATCCATCCTGAATCATCCACATCCATCCTTTGGTCCAGTCAGCCGCATGTAATCCACATTGCTTCCTCTGGCCTTCCGCAACTAGCTGGCGTGATTGAAAGATTGAGTGCCAGGCACAATTAAATTGCTGCCAGATGATGTATGTATGTATGTATAGCAATTGTCACAAGTCCTAATTTGGATTGGCTGGCTTAAGCCAAATGCAACGGAACAGGTGCGAGCAGGTGGCAAGAAAATGGGACATTTGATGGCGGAGCATTTGAATAAATCACAAACGGATGAGCCTTCAATAAATAGTAATAGAGCTTCAAGGTTTCCCCTTGGACATAAATTCCTCTCCATGTTTATGCTGAAGGCAATAGAAATCTACTCCTGATCACTGAGAGAGAAATTTATAATTAGGAAAATTATTATAAAGCAAAAACTTTATTGAAACTTGTGACATAATCTTTTTTAATGGCAAAGGAACACTTAAAAAATATTGAAGAACGTTGGACAAAGTGTTTTAAAACTCTTCTTGAAACAAGTTTATAAAAATAATTTGCTTGCTAAGTTCGAATAGCCATTTTCCCCGTGTAACAGAAAAACTTTTGCCAACTCATCCAGCGTGTTTATGGCCAGAAGAAACCTTCATTATTTATATGCTTATCTCGGTGATAAACTCGCTTCAACGGCATTTGCCTGCGGTGGCCGGGCACTTCCCCTCTTCTTTTTCCGCCATCGACTTAAACAAATCATTAAATACATCGCTTTGCCATCAGGTGGAGAAAGGGGTGGCTCAATCTTACGCCCATTCTGCGCACCATTTGTGCACCTGTCGTCGCAGCCAAAGGCGCCTGGAAATTGCGGAAATGCGCCTCTGCCTTGGCCAGAAGCTTTGGTTATTGGTAGCAGCATAAAGGCAGATTATTGACACAACAATAAAACTGCACAACAATCAAAATAATAGAAGATTTACAACGAACCAATGGCCAGTGAAATGAGATGGAGATGGAGATTTCGATGGGAATGGGTGTGGGGCTTTTGCTGGGGCTGCGGCTAGCACAAAAAGTGCAATGAAAATGCACAATAAAATAAATAAGCGCATAAAAGGTGAGCGGCGAAAATTTGCAGTAATTTGAGATTACGTTGGCATTATGAGCCCGTTGCGAAGGGAGCGGGAAGAATCCACATTGCCATCGCCATCGCCACGAGACCTGCAAAGCCAACGTTGCCAACTTTTACTGCGGCGACAGCAGAAACTCAAAAGAAACCCAGGTCCACAAAGCCGCAGCTGTTAATGAATGGCAATGGCTTTGTTGGTAATGAAGTGTTGGCCATAATGCCTCCACGACGACGATGACGACCAAGACAAGAGCCAGTCTTCCAGCCACCAATGACGAAATTGGCACAGGGAGCGATAAGCCAGATAAGAAGGGACATCGCTTAGTCAGTGGTTTAGTTAGGTTTTAGTTTCAGCTTGGCTTTGTCTTTATTTACAGGGTGGCAATTAACCTTGGCAATGTTAGAAAATAATAGAGAATGTGGCACTCGAAAAGTACAAAAATTATTAGGTCACTAAGCGAGTACTATACACAAAACAAAAGCATTTCTTAAAGATTTTATGAGAATACATTGTTTAAATCAAAGAGATAAGGAAATATGAATTTCTTAAAAAATAACTTCTTTAAAACCGATTAACAGGTTTTATTCTTTTCTTTTTAGTTTATATATTAAACACATAATCTTTTACGTTGAAAAGGTTAATATTTACACAAGGTGAGATATAGCCCCTCATAAAAAATGCATTTAAAAATAACCTTTAATTATTAAAATCAAATTATTATTTTCTCATTAAAACCCAAAGCACTCCCATAAACTAAGAATTTGCGTTCACTGAGGTAATGCAAAATACATAATGAATCTTATGTAAATCTAATACTCATCTCAGTAGTGAGCATAAATTAAAAACATTTAGCCTAATGGAAAACTTTGATATGGGCATAAAAATATGACATAAAATATTTTATAGCCCAACATGGTCGTAAAGTTCAACTACTGAGACAGAAGAAGGCCAAAAAATGAGTATGCAAGAAGAGATGGTATGGAAAACAGCGAAGAAAGGCTTGCACAAATCAGGCTTTTCTTTTTTCGGGTAGTAAAAATCAACGAAAATTCCGTGTCCAAGCTCTGGGAAGAAGTGATGCCGAGTGAGCCACTGCTGTCCGTTTGCTGTTTAAATATTTGTCTTTGATTTAAGCCGGAGTTCGGGACTTCAAGCGACACTTCTCCATCTCCATAGACCCCTGTCTCGATCTCCATCTCCATCGCCATCTGCAGTTCCCTCACCCTTTTTGACCATTTGCATTGTCTTGGCCTGTTGTTTTTACCAATAGCACTGAGATGTTGGAGGCTTGGCCATGCCAAACTGACATACAAGACACAAATCATGATTTGCTGGCAATGTTGCTGGTGGCATCCAACTCGTTTACAGCTGCGCCTGCCGAGACGTCAACAATGAAATTGTCAAGTGTTGACAAATAAATTTGAGGATTTCGAGGAGATTTACTTATGCTAATGAAAGACACTTGTCACAGATACTCGTACTCGTACTCGTACTCGTACTCCTATTCCCTCTCCACTCGGCGGCATCGCCTTGAAGTGCGAGACCACGTTGGCTCGCATAAATGTGTTTGCTCATCGGGGTTTCGTTTTGGCCAGCAGTATGGAGTTTTGGAGCTTGGAGCTGGTCAGTTTGGCTTAGGAGCTAGAAAAAGTACCGTAACAAATTTGCAAAGTGAAAGAATTTGAGAGAAGAAGCACTAAATTAGTCAAAGGAGAGAGAGGGTGAGGAATTTCCAAGAATGGTAGGACTCCAGTTCGTCACATAAATATTTATGGATGTTAATGCTGTGAAGTGTATTGCACACTGAACATAGCTATTATTTGACGAGACAACTGCACTTGACAAAATCTATTTTATTTGAGTTAGCAACAACTGAAAAAATATTTGAAATGTTAAAGACTTAAAACGCAAATCAAACTGAAATTATAACTTTTTCTGTTATTTTGACTAGTGCATTAAAATTAAACCTAGCCTGTAGCTATAGAAGAATTAAAATCTTAATCTGAAGTACTCGTTTTTTATTGTTTATGATTATCAAGGCAAAAAAAAAACCCACGGCATAGATATCTTTTTCTCTTGTAGGCTTTTTCTTACTGTAAAGCACTTAAACATTTCAGGTTGATTGGAGGTCATATCCGTAGCTCAACCTTATTAGAGTCCACCTGCCCGACGGGATCCATCGCATCTATCCCTTTATATCCCAGCATTTCACACGCTCATCAAATTGACGCCTCAGCCATAAATTCAGCGCCGAAACATTGTAAAGAAATGAAAAATCTCGATTGCCGTCTACCTGTGAACTGTGGCCGATAAAAAAAAATATATTTCTAAAACACAACCACTAAATTGCATATCTCGCACACATACTGGCCACATATCATGTGCCTATTTTGGGGTACACTCAAAGAAAGCATATATGAGCTTCATTGGCAATAAATTACAACTGGAATAATTTATTCCCCAATTAAGTTTATATCCATGTAACAGTTTACTTTTTTTTATTTTCAAAAACCCTTAACAAAAATGTGTACGAACATAAAGTTGTTGTTTCAGGTTAAAACTAATTGATTGCAACTTATTTATTATAATAATAACAGCAGGGTATTAATAGACTGAACTTGTATAATTTAATTTGTTGACTTGAATGTTTTACAAACTATTATTAAAAACTTATAAATATCAAAAAGCTGTTTAGTTTTATTAAACTTTTTTGTTTGTTAAGTTAGTCGAACATAGATTTATAGGCCTATTATAAGTCCAAATACGACCAAATAAATTGTTTGTTAAAAAGTACTGTTGATTATCCTGCAGGCTAACTTAAATTTATATTAGTTATGCACATTACATTTCGTTGAGTGTATTGCAGCATAATTGAGTAATTAACTCCAAAAGTCACTCAAAACGAAACCAGTTCTCCACTCCACTCGTTCCGCTAACACTCAAACATGCGCAAGCCGGTTTGCGAAACGAGTGGGACGGAACGGACCGGAAACTAGTTGCCCGTTGCCAGTCGGTCCGCCGTGGCAATGTTGTTGTCGTCGCCGACGTCGGCAGCGCTGCCGCCGCTTATGCTGGAAAAAGATTCAGATACGTTCGGTTCGAGATACTTTTGTGTTCAGTTCAAGTTGAGCGCTTTCTGACGTTCGTACAACGCATTTCCGCGGCCGTCTGCAATTCGCATCTGCGGCGAGAATTTCGCGAAAATCCAACTGCAATTTTCAGCATTATTCTACGGTGTACAAATATTGAAAAGCCCTTGGGAAATTCGTGCTTTATTGAAAAACCCATTAGTTGTTTCGCGCGAAATAGTGCTATCAAGTGCCTGCATTTACCGGATTAAATATAACACATCTAACACACACGCAACATAGAATGCGAAATATTTATTTTTAAAACCCATTCAAGTGCCAAAGAGAAAAGTTTTATGCAAATAAAGTAATAGCAGTAAATTAAATATTAAAATCCATCTGTCCGAATAAAATCCGTCGAATGAAAAATTCACAACAAGTGCATCACAGCAAATTGAAAAATCTCTGCAGCGTTGGAAAAGTTGGGGCAAAAGTTTTGCATTTGTTTTGGGTTGCGTTTTCCCCCCGCCGTTTTCCCCATCTCGCGGTGACGCCTGCGCAGCTGTTTGGAAAAATCTAATTGGATTATTTTCTGCCAAACGGACAGCGGAAACGGAAGTTGGCTGCCATTTGCAATAGACTAACTAGCGCGGCCCCTCTGAAGGTGAGTTCAGCAGGATAATTAGCTATTGCAGCAGGAAAGCTCTTTTGTTAGATGAAAATAAATAGAAGCAAGTCATTTTAAAATATTTCACACGATGATGACACTGACACCGATAAAGTAACTCAAACTGGCGTTTGTCATAAGCTTCAAAACCTGCCAAAATAATGTCACTCAGCCAGCTTTTGTTTTCTTTTGCTTTGCATCTCGTATCTTGTATCTCATAGCTGGCTTTTTATAGCCTGCGTTTTATAGTCTGATTAAATTTGACAGTTGACAGCATTTTGGCCTTATCTGACTGCTTCGAATCGCTCCACTTCCTCTTGCGTGTGAGCGTTTGTTAAATGTTAATTGTTGACAATTTCGTATAAATTGACAATTCAACTGGCGTTTTACATGGCTGGTAACAAATAAATCGACATTGGCCCAGCGATGAGTGTGTGATGTTGGCCTAATGTATTATTAACTAGGCCAACAACAGAATGACTGCGCACACATTAGGCCCACTTTACAAGGGCGTGATTTAATGGGCCAGTTGCTTATTTTTCTAAGCTTTTTTAGTCCAAATTGGGCTGTAATATCATGCTTAATGGGCGGAAAACTTTACAGGTGATTTACACTGACATTAGTTACTCTTTTTGCGGTTGTAAAGGAAATATATACTTGACATTGAACAGAAAAAAAACCATTAATTGTTATAGTGATTTTTTGTTTGTGATACAACCAATTAATGATGACATTATTGCAAATAAATTTTTTTTTATATACAAATATTAAAGCAATTGCTGAATTGTTTATTTTTATAAGTCTGTGCTAGCTTTATAATATTGAATTCTGACATCCTGACTACTTCCTTTTTTAGCTCATTAATTTGATTTATATAAACATGTCGGAAAATTTGCTTTGGTATGCTTAATGATCAATATCGAATGCTTCTTAATATAAGCAAATGTTTACTTTCCATAAATCAAACAGATAGAGTAGAGTCAAAACCTATTTAACTATTCCCAATTGTTTATTTGGTAGAAAGAGAATATTCTGTTGTGAGAGCTCTTAGTTTTAAACGTGCTAAAATGTCCAAAACCAGCTCAAAAGTGACAAAACTTTTTCTTTGGCCAACTTAGCTTTTTGCACATAAAAACACACATAAAATAAGTAAAAACAAATTTTCTTTCTTTTGCCACTTTTGTGTGCCCAAGTCATGCAATGTTTCTTCCAGCAGCAAGCATAACATAAAAAAGAAAATACTAAAAAAAAGATTGTGTAAGAGAAAAAGCAGCACAAGGTCAGAAAGAGGCACACCTCGATAAGCAGCTGCCCTTAGGTGCCACTTCTTAACATTTAACTCAGTGCCCTAAACTCACGAACGTGGCGACTTCCGTCCGACAAATTTTTAGATTTTGAGAACAAATTTGCAACACGTACTCCAATCGAATTTATTCTTTTTTCGAGCCCGACTATGAGTCTAAATTTAAATAAGCGAATGATGTCTTTGTCGGCCTGGGGCTTAATTTATGAAGCCCAGGGCTATTATAATTCGCACTGTTCCAGGCATTTTGCATAAACAAATGTGTCTTTCATGTTTCGTTCTTTCTCTAATGTTTATTCAAATCCGCTGGCCGATTGTCTTAGCTTGGCTTGTCTGTGTCTGGTATTGTGTCTGAAAGTCTAGACTTTAGCAGGAAGGAAGCCCAAGTTGGAGACTGCACTTGAACTTGAGACCCTTTACAAGTATTTTTTCCCCGGGATTCTGTGTGGGTTCGGTGGTTGGCGGCAACCCTTTTCTTTTTTCTTTTTTTTGCATACCATATTTCTTCCCTCGCATGTGTGTAGCTACTAAAAAAAAGCGAAAAACAAAAACATGCTACAGCCATGAATGAAATAAGCCTGGACGAGGGTGATATCTGAGGAGGTGGAGCGACTGCTACTCCCCCTAGAGCTAACCAGACCAGACAGCCATCATCCCGGGCCCAGACACCTTTGTTTAAGCAGATCTTGATGTCTGGGGCAAGAGTGAGCCGCTTAGTGGCCTCCCAGTCGTCCAAGTCCCCGGCTCGTGTCAACTATTGTCAAGGCTTTAATTAGAGATTTCTATTGCCCTTCCTGTATTATCTCTGCCACCCATTATGTTGATGGATTCAGCTGAGCTTGCTCATTTATATTATAGTTAATATTATATATGTACAGCAGACAGCTACTGAAGGGGAATTGAACTTTGCCACTTAATTGAAACTTTTGCCTTACCATCATAGCACACACGGCGTATGCTTAATATGATTGCAGCTGCCAAAAAGTTATGCCAAGCAGTTAGGCTCGCAAACTTACTTGGGGCACACTCGAGTTAAATATTAATTACACGTGCTCAGTGGCAAATTATATTAATCCAGCCAGATATCATAATGAGTTTTTGGCAGAAGTAGGAGAGATATACGAAGCCAATTAAGATTAAAACACGAGTACGCATAAAACGGTATTCCTAGTTAATATTAAGTGCTCTCAATGAGTTATTTGTTTCAAGAATACATATATAGATTGTATTAACATGTGAGTTAAGGAGGACTTATTTCAAATGAACACTTCATAAGAAGCTTATTCTTAGTCAAGGCAAACCAATTATGCTTTTGGTGTTTATTTATTTCGCAATCAAAAGTTTCCTTTATTTATTGAAATCATTTTATGAATTCTAAATCATTTTATGTTCAGACCATTAAAATGAGTAAAAATGTATTGTCATTTTATCAATAATATATTCCAGCGAACAATACTTATCAGTGATCGAAAAGATCTGAGCTCCTAAAAACTTGGAGTTCCTTTTATGAGTACAATAATCTTAAAATATTTATGAGATCTGTCTTATCAAATGTCATTTCAATCGACACTAGGGATATTTGTATAATCATAAAAGAATGCAAATTTTGCTAATTTTATCTTATCTATGGAGTTTTAAAATATTCCACCGTATACAAGGTATACTTTGCTTAGATAAAATTAAAGGAGAAGTTAGCAACCTAAAGGGGCCATTGACTGGCTGCTTTTTCTATATCTTCCAAGACACAAAATAAAGAATACGCCGACGCCAAGCAACGACTTTGATATGGGATGATGATGAGCTCTAATTTCGAAATTATACAAGATTGGCTGTGAGAAGAAGAACTGGAGCTGAGGATGGAGATCTGAAGAGGCTGTCAGCTTGGAGGCCCGAGTTTCGGTTTCAGTTCAGCTCCTCGCCGCTGTTCTTATGCTTGTTGTTGTTGGCCACATAACAAGTTAATTTTGATGTAAATTTCTGTTTTGGTACCCGAACGAACGAATGGCAAAAATCGAGACAACAAAATGAAAAAAAGAAAAAAATCGAACCGGTTAACATAATCACTTAATTTTGTGATCGTGTATCTGTATCTCAGAATCGGCATCTGTGTGTGTCTCTGCCATCGTTTTCAGCTCGTAATCGTCTTTTGGAACTCAATACCCACCGTTCGGTTCGGTTGCCTATTGTATAGAAGTGTCAATATTATTAAGTGATGATGTCCCCATCTGAGGCTCAAGCTTTGATAAACGAGCCGATGCTGTAAATAAAACAGAGTAACAAAAAAGCGAGAAAAAAATCAACAAAAGATAAATAAACAGAGCCCGGTTAAGCTCTAACTCATCCGAGTTGATAAATTGTATCTATATTTATGTATGCTGCTACCAGCAAATAACTTACAATGTTTGAACGGGCAAACTAAAACTGGCAAGGGCAAAAAATGTGTAGAACACAAAAAATTAAAAAAAAAAACACACAAACACACAAAAATAGCAAAGCCGGCCAAAGCGAAAACACACAAACAAACACAAAAAAGAAGTAGCTAAAAACAAGCGCAACACAGAACCACAAAAAAAAAAGTCACTCCAAGCAAAAGCAAAAAAATGTGAAACAAATGCTGAATTATTAGCACACAAATCGCCGGCAGCAGAAGAAGTAGCAGGGTCAGTGGGTGGGGCGGGTGTTTTTGTTTTTGTTTTTGTTTTTGTTTTTGTTTTTGTTTTCGTTTATATTTTTATTTTTTATTTTTGCTGCTTATTCATGGCAGTAGTCACAACAAAAACAAGAACAAATTGCCAAGAGAAAAACTTGCAGAAATAGCAACACGTGAAAACCGCAACAAAAAACCTGGCACAGCAAAAACTAAATGGGGGATCGGAGAATAAAACCCCACAGAACAAACTAAAGAAAACCAGCCACAAAAACGCCACTCGAATATGACGAAAATAAAAACTAAAAACACATAAACTCGCCTGCATTTGGCTCCATATGAATGAGACAGATGTGGGAGCGGGTTTGAACGAAAGTTCTGGCCGACAACCAGCAGCTTGGGATGCTCGAGATCCTTGAGGTTATTGTTCTAGAGAGTGAACTCTTCGGACAACCCTCTCTGATGCAATTACCCTGCATCGTCTGCATCCTCCGACTGTTTTCTACATTTTGCCTGTGTGCTCGTGTGTGGGTAACCATGCATTTATGACGATTTTAAGCTTGCAGGCATCATCAGCATTGCAACGCAGAGAGATGTGCCGAGGTAAGCCAAGCAACCTAAACAAGCGAGCGTTAAAACCAAACTAACTATAAATAAAACCGAAAGCCAACAATAGCAAAAAAATCAACAGACACCAAGATGAACCTAACCGCAAAATAGGGGGAGGGGTAGGAAAACACACACAGCAAATACACAAAAAGAAAGCTATATTTTCCAAATAAAAACAAAATATGGCATTCCTAAGTTGTAAAATTAACTTTAAAGTATATCAGAACCTTGTTTCTTGTAGGTTAACTTTTCTTTTAGATTATCTTAAAAAAACTTATTGAATCGTTTAGTAAACGCTCTGAATACTTACTTATTTAGAGTATATCTAATCTTAAATGAAGAACTTTACTTTCTATAAAGTAAAGTTGTTTAGTTTCTTGTACAATTTTTTTTTGTCTGTAGGCAGCTGGGAAAGCGAATGCTGGGCGAGAGAAAACA